TCCTTATTATCAGTATAGTATCATGGGCCCCGAAACGCTATTCTAATAATAAACGCCCACCCCTGTATTACAAACTTCGTGGCCAGGTCGTACAGGCTCTTGCGGTTCGTTAATTGAGAGTTTAACGGCACTGACAACTGGGTAGTTGCAAAGTCTAGGACACCCCAGAATAACCCATACACCTTGAGCAACAATCGACCTAGTAGACGTTATTTCAGCCTTATTGCAAAGGCCGGTGTGACCTGAAGCTCTGAACCCGTTCAGCCACCACGCCAAGGGCTGGAACAGGTTGACTGAGATTCCGTCGCTGGAGCATCTGACACATCTACGCTACCTCAATGCAGCTCGGTTGCATTTTAGAGCTGACCTCCTGGTATTCGAAGTGCCGGGTCTTGGGGGTCGTGAGCCTGATCAGACCTTAGGTGTTTAAGGGTTCTACAGTGTTTGTGGTCCGGGTGTGGGATTGTCGGTTTTATTGCGGTAGAGTCACTGTTGAAGTGAAAGGCTTGTTTCGCTGAGGTCTGCGGAGACAGATTCGAGGTTTCAGCTTCCAGAATACCCTAAGACCCGGTCAAGCAGGAAGGCATAACTGACGGGTCTGGAGTCTAATACAGGGAGCCTTGATAATTTGGATAGGGCTTTAAGGCCCATCATACTAAATCAAAATGAGGACCCCCCCGCCCCCCCAAAGAAAATAACATTTGCAATCATTAAGGCCCCTTTTTTAGGCGTCCCCAATCCATTTCGAAGCTTGAGGCCCAGGCTTCAGCATGCAGTCGCTTGCAGCTGAGGTCATGAAAAACAATCTTTACATGTGCCTCGACTTACAGAGTAACCAGCCAAAAGTTCTAAGCCATGATCTTGAACTCAGAGACCTCGTGTCGCTTGTCCGAGATGCGAGAGCGTAAACCATTGACCATGACCTTCATGAAGGCTTCAGGGTTTAGGTTTCCTTCCGGCATACAACGAAGGCCCGTGCTGAAAAAGGGTGCCTCGGAACCGCAATGCCTGGAACGACTCCCTCTTCCAGTTGCCGATGAACGGCTTTTGCTCTGGGCGCAGGCTGATACCACCTTTCAGGTTTATAGTGCTGAGGGTTTACCTCCGTGCACCGAAAATTGTCGACGCCACCTTCATGCCTAACCAATACACGAAGAATAGCACATGTTTTTTTCTAAACATTCTGACCCCGGCTTTGAGACCGTTGCGGTTTTAGGCACTAGGTTTGCTGAGAACAGGTCTTGGGCAAAGCGGCTGTGAGAACTTGAGCAGGCAAAGATATAGCATTGACTAGAGTGCCAGTTTATTCAGGTTCAAACTCCAAAAGTTTGGACCGTGGACGTAGGATGATTGGTGCCAGGCTTCCCTATGCTTTACCTTGACTGAAGGTAGCACCATGACGATGCGCCAGCTGTCTGACATTATTGCAAGCCTTTAACCACGAACTAAACTTCCAACCGCATGGAATCCAGCACAGACCTGACAGCCCCAAAGATGAAACGAGCATCTGCCTCGTCCCGAAAAGTCCCGGCAACCATGAGAGCTCTAAACTCTGCAGCTAAACTAACCATTGATATTATGGGAGCTAAGGAGCCAGGGATGATGATAATCCCTATTGAATAAGGAGCTAAAGAGCCAAGGGAGCCCCCAAAACCACTGGTTAGTAAACTCTCCAACCCTGTTCCCACGGCCCAGGGTATTCTACTTCTAAAGCCCGAGAACCAAACCTCCAGACCAAAGAAGCTGAAGTCCGAAAAGAAATCTCAGGATGCCGAGCCTCCGGTCCAACACGGAGCCACTTGCAGACTCAGAGCACCAGCTAGCGAGGGAGATGAGGTGAGGTAAGGCCACTCAACCCCTCAAACCCTAAACCCCCAACCCTAACTTTAAGGTGTAGGCCGTGGGGTCCGGGCTCCAGGGCTTAAAAGTGACTACTTTACGTTAGCCTTCTACACTAGATCCCTAAACCTCGCATCTATAACGTCAGCAAGGTGTAGTCTGGGCGCATACTGCATTATCTGAGTGTTGGCCTCATTTTTCCCGCCCTTTCGGAATCCGCCTCCTCTGTAGACAGCCCCGAGATGTGGAAGTGGGATCACTCAAGACCATGCAGATGTCGACACCCTGATGTAGGGGCCTTCATATTCACCTCACCTTTTTTGGGGGCTCCTTTTAATTATATTGGGCCCCAAAACCCGATTCTAAGTGTAAAGGCCTCTATATTATAGTGCCCTTACGGACCCCTTATAGCAACCCTTATAGTCCCCTTTAAGGGAACCCATTCTAATAATTAAGGCCCCTCGCAGTATCTCCCGAACCCAGTCTCCGAATCGGAACCCTTTGACTTGCACAGGGCGCTTCACGTGGGATTATTGACGGAAGGGACCTACTGTTTAGTCCTTCCCCTTCTTCGAATGCCCGGTGGAGCGAGAGAGAGAGAGATAGAGAGAGAGAGAGAGATAGTCCATCCAGGAGTTTGGGCATGCATATGCGAAAGGAAAATGCTTGCCCCATGTTCGCACTTGTTCAAACTGCGTTTACGGGCTCGCCCTGAGCTGTGGGATGGGTCCGTAGGGATTGCAAGCTGAGATTTTGCCAGGAAACTTAAAACTGGATCATATCGTGTTTGACATGCTAAACGACATGCCAAGTACCGACCTGTGAAACACTGGACCTGACAGCGCAAAGCTTAGACTCTTAAAGGTGTAGCACTCTACAAGATGATTGCCACAATCCCCGCGAACATGAGGCAACGGTCCGCCCCAAAAGCAATAAGCCTAAGCCCACCTAAGCCCAGAAAATCAGAGGTTGAGGTTGGTCGACGTCAGCCGAAACAAGTTGAAGCATCTGCCTACCCTGGAGAATGCTCACCACTTGGAAATGCTCTCAGTGCTCCTTGTATCGAATGTTAGACGGGTTTCGGGTTGTGGGGACCTTGCTGCAGCTAATGTAAGCGTCTCCAACTAAAGTAGGTTTGAGGGATTGGCCTGCATCTCGGGGCTACACCTGGCTAGATCTCCATGCCTCTCAACACCTTTCCGTACGAGTTGCTTCAGGCAAGCACGGAAAGCAAAGGGTTGTAGGCAATTGCTGCAAAAGCAACAGTGTAGCTTAACACTTCCCCAACGAACCTAGATGACACAGTCACAAAGCCACTGTGGGCTGATCTCATCAAATCTAGGCCTGAGCATGCTTTCCTGTGGCAAACCTCGCTCACGTGCACCACCGGAAGAATCTCAGGAATTCCAACAAGCTGGAGGAGATGCCTGAAATCAGCTCTGCCACCTGCCTCTCATGAAGCAAGGTGTCGACGATGCGCTGCCTGTATGCCGGAAACCGGATACCATGTCTCAAACCTGCATACCTGAACCCCACACGTATGTAGAGAACTATAGCCTGTTATATAACAACTAATATATATATATATATATATATATATATATATATAGATAATATAGAGAGAGTGAGAGGGTTTGGGCCATTCTTTTACACTTTTTTGAGGGTTTAGGCAGCAGGCACTGCAACAAGTCTTGAGGGCAGGCGGGGGTGGCAGCAGGCGCTAGACGAGGATTTAACCTTCGGCATGTGCGGATCTTTAGGGTTAAGGGTATAGTACCTATAGTCTCCATTGTAGTTCCTTTTCTTGGTTTAACGAATTTTCTATTAGGGATCCCAAAAGGTATCCCCGAAAAGGAGCTACAATGGAGACTGTAGGTACGGTCCTTGTCCGCGGCCAGGCGTAAGCAAGCTTGGAAGCAATCAGTCGAAGCCCCACACCGGCTAAATTCGAGGCTTTTGTTGTATGCCTTGGTTTCGAACCCCCACCTTTGGCCTCAGCCCCTCTAGATCCTGTTGCAAGCCTCGGACCCTTCACACCTGTTTAGATGGGTTCCGCAGAATCCTTCGAAGCCCAGGATGCCCCGCCGGGCCTTCACATTCCACAGACTCTCCAAGCTTGTAGGGTTTTAATCCGACAACATCTGTGAGGGCTTGGGGTTCAGGATCGCACGGCTGCTTTCAGCTCGGAGCTGACGGACATGTGGGTCATTTGGTCGTGGGTATTGTGCGGCTCCAGAACGTTAGCTGACACACAGCAGGTTTGGATAAACGGCCAAAGCGATAGGACCCTTGAGTATCTTCAACCCACCTCAGCCACGCCTCCGCCCTCCACCCAACAACGACCACAGTTTTAGAGCCCTCCCCCCTTCCCGCCCCCCACCTAAACCCGAAATCCAGAACCTACCATCAGTGCTCACCATGAAATAAACCCTCGTCGCCCCTAAACCCTTAAACCCTAAACCCCAACCCTTAACCCCCCTAAACCCTAAACCCGTAAACCCTACACCTTTCGAGCCCAGACCCCGGAATCTTCTGTTCCCAATTATAATAAGGAGCCCCCCAAATAGTATTCGTATAATACTATAGAGTATAAAGGGCCCCAGCACCAAAACCCTATTCTATGATCGCCTATGTTCCCAAGTAACTCGAGGCTGCATCGATACCCTTATACAGACCCCTTATAGTAATCCTTAAAGCCCACACCCAAAAGCCCATGTCCCCAATAATTCGAGGCTGCATCAATAGACAGCGTCAACTGCGGTTGGAACGTTCCTTGGCCAGGTTTTGGGTTCACTTGGGGTTCACGGTTTTGGTTTTAGGGTTTTGGGTCTCCCGAAGCCTGTTGCAAAAAGGGTTGTGCGAAGGTTCAGGGGCTGGTGCAACAGTCGCGAATGCCACAATGGCTGCCACTAAAAAAACATATCATTGGCAGTACGCTTGAAACACAGCCGTAAAGCCGAGTCTAAGTTGAGCCGCCGTACCTAGATCCTGGGATTTGGTACGCGGATTCAAAGCCAGGCCGATGACTTCTCGCTGAGATAACATGGGCTGTGTTCTGGATGAGGGTTTCTTTTCCTCTACAGACCGTTAACTGCAGGTCCTGTTTCCTGTTCCTGTTCCTGTTCGGACTGTCGAGCCTATACAAGCGCGTCCCAAAATTGCTACTCACAAAAGGGTGAAACGACGATTGAGACAGAAACGGACGGCGCCCCAGAAGGCGGTTGAAGCCAATACCCCGCCGTCGAGGTTCGAGGGCCCTCCCGAGAGGCCTCGTCGAAGTACTCATTAAGCCAGGCGAGTACCGAAGGCTTGGGGCGGAAAGTCCTCGCAAGAAGATCTAGCGTGACGTCCTCCTCATCAAGTCCAAGGAGCATCTCAGCTCTGGTCGGCCGGCGCGGCCCAAAAGTAGGCTGTGCCGGAGTGGTGGCTTCAAAAGCCTGCCATTGACCTTTCTTGAGCTTTTTTCGCCGCTGCACCTCTTCAGCATCTGCAAGCCGGATCTGAGCTAAGGTCATGGGAGGCATGAGGTGTGCGAGGCGGAGAAGGCACTCACGAGAGCGCTTGGTATGGTAACAAGCCCGCTCAACACTGTGATACATCCGCAGACACGCCTGGCAAGTGCTGGTCGGAGTAAAGTGTCTGGCAGGACAGAGAATACCATGGCTTTTGGCCGCATGCGCCGCTAAGTGTTTCCTGAGGCGGAAACGTGCTGTACACCATTGGCAGGCGAATGGTCTGTCTTCTTCTGTCGGCTCCGGAGCCGGGGCAATGCCGGAAGGCATGGTGCGGCCTCGCTGGCCGGCCCACACTTCCAGCCTGTCCGCAAAACGACTCGATGCTAACTTGATCTGCCGTGGCCACCAATGCTCATCCGTCACAACAGACTCCAGGATGGCAGCAACTGGACAAGGAGCGCTCAACAGAGCCTGGACAGGAGCAACATACACAGCAACGGCACGAAGGTCGTCGTGCAGATGCCCGAGCCAGGACCTGACTGGGTCCACGGCCCAGTGTGCTTTGAGAAGGTGGATGAGTGTAGCTGGTCCATGCCGGGTGAGTCTTCGGAGGAAGACCGCCCGCATATGTGCTAGAGCCAGCAATGGGTTGGTGGCGGCAGCAAACCTGAGCACCTCGTAGCTGTGCGGGGTGGCTTCTGCTGAGCTCCAACGTAGGAGCCCTCGCCAGAGCACCACGTACATACGGCACCACTGCCGTTTGTAGATCTCAGCTCCAAAGATCTGTGAGGCGGCAGTGAAAACAAAACGGGAGATAACCAGCGCCTGTAGCAGGAGCTTCCGGACCTTCTGGGGGATATCCGGGGCAGAAAAGAGGCGGCGGTACAAAGGGCGGAGGGCTCCTTGAGCCTTGGAAAAGCGAAATGACAGATCTGTGCCGGCGGTCCCGTTGGCTGTGACAATGCCCCCGAGGTGCTTGTAGGAATCTACCACGGGAAGGAAATGCCAGGCCTGCATAACTGGATCGTGTATGTCCAGGCCGAGTTGACCCGTGTCATCACTGCGAAGCCCAAGGTCCGCCCCTCTCCCACAGTCAGAAGAGATCAGGGCCGCGGTTTTATCAACTGCAAAAGTGAGGGTCATCCCAACGGCAGAAGCATGGGCAGTGATGAGCCCTGTCGAGGCCTGAATGTCAGCACACAGGCCGGGACCGGTGAGGGCATCTCGAAGATTGACAAAGTCATCAGCCCAAGCACCAAACTGGATGTGCTGTGGCGGTTCCCATTCCTGCCAAAAGGGCGTGTCCCTGGCACAAGGGACAGGAGGGCTCAGTCCTTTCGATGCCAAGGCTTGCTCAGCTGCCCGCAGGTAAGCGGAGAAACTGAAGGCAAAAAGGATATCGGCAAGAGGGTCACCGGGGCGGCCGCCCCGGTGTGTAAGTATCAGAGCAGCCGCCCCGTCCATTCTGAACCATGTCCCCCGGAGCAAATCGCTGATGAGGGCAGTGGTGTGAGCAGATGGAGCTTGGACACCAACTCAGGTACAGCAGCACTTGGCACACCAAGGCGGTCGAGCAAACCCAGGAGAGTGGCATCCTGTTCTGTTGTGGGAACCAAGGTCTGCCTCAAAAGCATGTAGAACGCCGCTCTGACGTCATAAAACACCAGGCCGCACCTGCGTCCACGGCGCTTGGTAAGTTGTTGGTAGCTCCGAACCGCCAGCGCAACGCTGTCTGTGCCTATCCCAGGTAACTGTCCTGCTTGGAGGTCCAGGCACACCCCTGCAAACGAAGCTGTGAGCTGAGAACGCAGGATGCGGTGCCACAGCTTTCCCGGGACACTCTCAAGAAGGATTGAACGGAAGGCTGAGCACGACATGAGGGAACTCGCTCTCTTTGCGAGGCAAATCAAATTGCCACCGCGCCACGCGGCCGGCTCACGAAGTCCAAGAGCGGTCTTCAAGTATACCGGGTAGAGGGCAGCCGCTGAGTGTACCACCGACACATGAAGGAGCTCAGCGGCGATGCCGTCCGGGCCAACGGCTTTTCGCGCTGGGAGCGCCAGAATCTGCTGTTCAACAGACTGCAGGGTCGGCAGGGCGGCGATCTCGAAATGCGGTCCCCCAAGGCTAGGGTCAGGCTGGGCTGAAGAAAAGTGCTGTGGATAGTCCGCCAATTCAATGGCTTCCCCAGCCTCTTGCTCGCCAAAGTATTCTGCCCACCGGAGAACCCTGGTGGCCGGATCAAGCGCTGTAGTGCCGTCAGCAAGAAGGACAGCTGGAAGTGCCTGGAAGTTGGCCCGGCGTGCTGCTCTGGCGCCCGGAAAAGCCCGGCGTACAGCTGCGTAGAGGTCCTTGGGCCGCTGAACGTCGGCCAAGGTAACGCGGCTGGCAAGACCCTGAAGGTAGGCCACCCGGTCTTGCTTGACCAGGGATCTGACGGAACTGGTGAGCCAAGTAAAGCAATCCAAAGCCCGAGCAATACTAGCATCCATGTCAAGGAACCATCGATCCGCAGCGGCTCGAGCCCTGTCCGTGAAAAAAGTACCTCGCGAGTGGTGGACAAAGGCAGCGAAACCTAGAAGCAAACGCCTACGGCGAAGTTCACCTTCCTCCGCTTTCAAGTAGGCACGGAGGGAAGCTCGCTGTTGGACGACCTGGAGCGTGCGCTCTTGGAGGTAAGGCTGCCGAGGCTTGCGGGTGGTAGGTTGACACAGTGGCTGGCCCGCAGCAATGAGAGTGGGGACGAGCTGCCGGTAATGCTGGTCCACATCTGTCTCCCAGCTAATAGGGGTGCTGCTGCCAAGCTGAGCGACGAAAGTGGACCTATCAGCTGGAGCCAACTCCTTGCTAGGACGGCACGCTCGTCGTTGACTAACAGTGTAGGACGCAGGGGGCGCCAGGCGGCAAAATTGCGTCCGGACGACCACCGGTCTGTGGTCGTCACGGGCCTGTAACGCTTCCAGATCGTCCAGGACGACCGATTGCACGGCAAAACCACTCCAGGCTTATGGCAGGGCCACGAAATCCAGTCGATGCCTGGCCGTATCGGCTCCTGGAGCAATCCAGGTCCAGGAGGAACCTTGGTGGTAACACGAAAATGTGGATGGCAGGAAGCTGTGAGTAGCCAAAAGGAAAGAATGGAAAACAGCTCCAGCCAGATTTTCGGTCTCGCCGTCATGGGGCCCAACAGCGTCAGTATGTACTGACCCAAGATGCGAGTTAGAGTCCGTAAGCAGGATGAACTCTGACCCTTCTGGGCGGCGCGCAACCTCTGTCTGGCGTGCTTGCCAGAAGGCTTCCGCCTCCGCCACATCGGAAGCCTTGCCTCGCGGGGCATGGGCTACCAAGATGGTAAGGCGGAGCCTGTCAGCATCGACTTGCGTAAGAAGGTGCCGCGGGGAGAAACTGGTAACAACAACCTGATCTCGGCGGACTTTTGTGGAAGGCTGACCCGGGGTGAGAGGAAGACCAAGGTTAAGCCATAGCGCGCAACCGTAGCTGCCTTGACTGTCTGCAGCTGTGCACAGCATGAGAAAATCTTGATCCTGCATCACCTCATCCGCAGTAAAACGGGTTTCCTGCAAGCCAATAGCCCAGAGGTTCCTGGCCAAGAACTGTTTCTTCAGGAGGTCGCGCTTGCCTGCCACTAGCATGCCACGTTGAGCATGGCGCTTGACACGTCCCTTGGGAGCATCCGGAGTGAAAAGCGTAAGCACATTGTACGAGGCAAACGCAAGGGAGAAAACCACTTCGGCCCTGGGCCGGTGCACCTGACTTAGGCCGAAGTCAGGAGGAGAGACTCTGCAGGGGGTAGATTGTAGGCGGGAAGCCTCTGCCTGTAGGGCCGCAAGAACAGGAAGATGCGGGTCAGGCGCAGCCGCAAGCCAGGCCCAATGCCTCAGCCGGTGAGAGGCGAGCCGCGATGGCCAGACGGGCAAATTCCGATCATACGGGTCTTCGTGGGTCCTTCGGGCCTGTTTGGACAACTGATCCACCAGCTCATTGGGAAGGCAACCAGAGTGCCCATGCACATGGTGGTGCTCAACGTGGGCCATTCGGACCAAACACTGACGTAAGAGACATGCGAACTCACTAATCGTGGAAGCTGCCCCTTCATCCTCTGGCGCCCGGGCGGTCGACGGAACAGGGACCTTGGCTTGCCTGGAAGCTCCGAACGTTCCAGCCCCTGCGCTGGTGGCATCATAGCAGAAAAGCATAGGGAGCTGGTAGTGGATGCCGTACTCCAGAGCCCAGGCTTGAGCCCAACACAGCGCAGCAAGCTCGGAGACAAGAGGGGTGTCACTGTGTTCCCCAACCCAAAAGGGAGTCCCTTCAGGCACCAGAGAGTGTGCTGCAACACCTAAAAGGAAAGGGCCCTGCTCTGTGTAGAGCCAGACAGAGAAGGCCCAAGCAGCAGGCGAGAGGCCTTGTTGGGTGTGGTCCCACTGAGCTGACCCATCAGTGTAAATCTCAAGCTTGTAGGGCTGTCCTGGGTCAGGGGTTTTTATGCCATCTTCGGATGCCTTGGAAAGCCTGTCGCCAGAGAGGCGGGACCTCAGGATCCTGCCACAAAGGTGTCAAATCGCTGTCAAGCCAATCCGTATGCAGGGCCTCCAAGTCTTTGGAAGCTCGCAGTCGCCGCAGAAGCTCCTGTAAATCCTGAGCCTCTAGCTGGAAAGCTGTGGGTGGGAGGAGGTCTTGGAGGGCCAGAGGGCAGCCGACTGCACAGTTTAGCCGTGGCGGGTCTGGTGCACGAACCTCGGCAGTAAGTGGACAGGCCATCGGCAACGGGGGAGTGCTGGGATCCGCCAGGAAAGGCGGCCCGGCATCCAACAGATGTTCCCAGGCAGCCTCAAGGATAACAACGGAGTCGAGAAAACCAGAAAAGCCCGGCCTGCGGATACTTTCCTCTAATGGTGTTTGCAAGCCCTCCATGTCAATGTCAGCTTGCGACTCCACAGGGAGGGACATCGCCGGCAAGGGCCAGCTTGCAAGAGATGTCCTGCACGGTGTGGGAAGGGGTCGAAAAAGACCTGAATCCAGGTGGGCGCTCGAGATGGCCCTGGATGTCTTACCCTCGAGAGGGGTGGCCACTAACGTCGCAGCCGACTGTGCCAGGTCTGTGGGATCGACCATGCCTCCGACTGGACGAGCATGAAGGAGGAGAAGCAGCAGAAATGCAAAAGTGCGCACGGGCAGACCAAACCGTGGCATATGCAACACATCCAAGCTTGCACTATGGTGCCATAGCCAACTCGTCCACTGGGCAAGCAGGCCACCAAGCACAAGAAGGAAAATCAAAGCTGGTACGCAGCAAGGCAACGCCAAACCCAGGGGGGCAGAGGTGATAATCCGGTTGCTCTCTGCAAGAGCGTCACGACAAACACCAGAAAACCACTTGCCTACCACAATGGTAGCACAGCCGTTGCGGAAACCGCCTCGATTGACTGGTTGAGGGGGAGGTGGCCCCCTGGGAGCATCGGGGGGAGGAGAACGACTACGCGGAGCGCGTGGCGTAGAAGAGGAGTCCTCAACGTCGGGGTGCGGCCCATGTACCACAGAGTCATCATCGGCGGGGTCAGTGGAGGAGTCGGCATCATCGTCGCCAGACGCCTCATCCTCATCAGGAGGGACAGCAGGCGGTACAAAACGGACCTGGAGGACCAAACCTTGGCGCGCCATGACACGGGGCCTCCCTCTGTGTAAAAACCTGTGGCCTCCTCTGACATCGACGACGTACCCAGGTGGAGCCTCTTGCTGCAAAGTGCGCTGGAGGTCCTGAAGGTCAAAATGCTCCCCTTCACAGAGGAACCATGTGAAACCCCTAAGGACAGGCCGCTTGTCCAGCAAGATAGCAAGCTGTTCCGGGCGAGGTCGGGCAGGGGGCACCGGTAAGCGGCAGATAGCTTCCGTGGCCACAACGACAGAATGGCAGTAAAAACCCCGGTAGCTGCAATCAGTGACCCTCGGGAATGCGGGCTTGAGGCTGGTGCGATGCACGGAGTACTGCAAAGCCAGGGCGAGGTCCTGCTTAAAAGTGGCTCGCTGGTAGCTGTCGACTGTCTGAAGGTGGTGGATACCATCTGTCAGGACCAGAACATGCATGTCTAGAGGGCCAAGCGAGACCTCAGCCTCGGGATGCCAGCCTTCTGAGCTACTCAACATACTTGCTAGACTATGCACAGGGGGGTCATGTCTGCCGCCCCATCGGACTAGGACTGTATCCCCGTGCCGGAAAAGAGCCTGGCCCCGACCAAAGGGGGCACCTGCAACAAAGATTTGAAGGCCAGGCACGTCCCTGAGCCGGATCAGACGCAAAAGGGACTCGCGGTTGAGCTGCTCCGGGAAAGGCATAGCGAAAGCACGGTCATCAATGGCCCTTGTGTCCACACAAACCACACGGACCGATGGTGCCCAGGAAGGCCGTGCAACAAAAACACCATAAGCAGGGTCAAGCTGCGGGTAAACCGGGACTAAATCCGGAAAGTCTGCTTGATATTGTGGGCTCCTGTCCGCCACAATCAAGGGGAGGACTTCTTGCACCGTGACAGGGGTGGCAAGGGGCACAGCAACAAGCTCTGGAGCCATGTCTGGGACGAGAACCATGAAGACATGTTGCGTACGAGGCAGGGCTGGGCCGGTAGCCGCAACATCTTGTAGTACGTCAGGAGGTCCTCGCTGATGCGGCCTGTCTCTGTGATCTGGAGGCCCAGGATGGTCCGGCCGCGTGACTGCCGCGTCGCTAGGATAACCCCCGCTGTGGAAGTCGCCCGTACCGTGGGCCATGCGCGGTTGAGAGGCTTGCAGACCCGTCTGCTTGGAGGGCCGGCGCTGACCCATGAAAGGCTTGGCACAGTGTAGGGGAGCCCCCTGCCGGGGCGACAAAAATGAGTGCACAGCGAAGAGGCAAACATCCCAAGGCTCTGCATCCAGACCAAGGTTGGTAAATGAGGTGGCGGATGCCATCCAGCGGGCATCAAAGTCATGCGGTGCCGTGGGTTGCGGATTGGCACTGACGCTCTTGCTGTTGGAGGGTGGAGGCCGCCTAGCATCTGAATCCCGACGCTCCTTGCGCTTGCGGTTAGAAGGCGCGGCTGCAGTAGTTGAGGGGACACTGGGCAGACCTGAGTCCGCATCTGATCCTGAACTATCATCTGAATCCGAACTGCTGTCAGCTGGAGGTCGCGGTACCCCAGTTGGTAGCGGAGCAGCCGTCGGCTTGGCCTCAAAAACCAAGACATCCCTTGAACGGACATAGACATCATCGTCTTCCCTACAGCCCCCATGGACTACGAACTGGAGACCATCGGGCAACCGCAACCCGAAGTGTGCTAGAATGCTGGGGATGTGCAAGGCAGGGAAGTGCGAGTGCCAATGCCGAGGTCGGTGTCCAAGTGGCCGAAAGTCCAAGAGCGTACAGACGTCCCGTCGTCCTTGGAGGAGGTCATCGTCTGGCCGTGGAAGGTCGAGGACAACTGCACAGGAATGACACGGATCTCCATGCAGATCGAACCTGAAAAGGCCATCATGCTGACAAACGGTGATGTCTGATTCTGAGCAATGCAGTCGTTCAGCAATGGCATTCTCAAGACTGTTGCGGTAGTGGTGTCTTTCGTGCAGGAAAAACCTGTGTTGGGCGGTCATGACGCACACACCAGGAGTGAGGGTGCACTGCAGGGGCAAATGCTCCGTGCGTCCCCAAGCAGCACCGTCCCGGAAGAGGTCTAGAATGTCATGCCAAGGCAAAGGACGGACACCTCGTCTAAGCACCGTCAGAACTACACCGGGTGAAAGAGTCAGGTCAGTCCTAGGGGCGGCAGGTTGGGTGCTAAACCCTAGAAAGATCTGAAGCTCATCGGTGTCCTCAGTGCAATGCGGCGCAACGTAAAGGAAGAACTCCTCATCAGAAAGAACGGCCGGGAGACAGGCTGCGAAGTAATGACCACCAACATGTGAGAGGTCAATAACAACAGCGATCTGTCCGTTGTCAACTGCATCCCAAGCAGAAGGATATCTGAGGAAGCCCGCATAGCCGCTGAAACGCTGAGGTTGCAAAGCAACAAGGCGGTCCGCCAAACCATATGGGTCAAGAGGGGCAGCCTGTTGAATGCTCTCCTTGACCTGTTGGAGGTCACGGGCCGGAGCAGCCCGTACCGCACCACAGATCGGCTGGTAGTACGGAGAGAAAAGCTGAAAACCCAGCCAATCTGCCGAAAAGGTCAAGTCCGTTTGTGCCATGCCTGTACTGAAAAGAACCAGGGGATGCAGCTCCGCACTGGCATCCGTGCCAACATCATGGTGGGTGGAAGGGACAGAGGCCACTGGCGTGGAAGGGCCACTAAGAGGAGCTATCGCAGATGTTGGCAGAGCACTGGAACCCGGCAGCCCAGCGCCGGCCTCAGCAGTCGCTAGGTCCAGTTCCATAGCAAAGGCCGGGCAACCGTACCACACCACGGAGCAGGCACAAAGGTTGAGGCTGCCAAAGGAAGCCAACAGAGCACACATGCGTAGTAGGAATCTGCAGAAGAGAGAGCACCCCCGGTTCACGTGATGCTTGCCCTTAGAACCCCGGACAGGCCTGCGAGGCACACAGTTCCACTGCAAGACAGGTGTGCTGAACTGGGCTATCCGTCCAATGCTTAGGCACACAGCACGGGACGGAATAGCGAATGTTCGTTGCACTCCTCTGGCTCTGGCCGACCCACGGCAAGCACCAGCGGAGTGCGTCAGCAAAGCGGAGACCACTACCAGGCCGGTAGTGCGAAGAAGGGAGGCTGCCGCTGTTTCAACTTCACACCAACCCCAACTTAAGTGGAACCAAACCGCATAGCAGCCGTACCCAACAAAGAAAAGCACCTGGAGGACGTACAGAGAGCCGTGATGTCTTCGTGTACTATCACAGGCAGTGCCCTCTGTTCTTGTCTCCCACGGAGCTAAGGCAATGTGGAGCCACTGCTCGAAGGTGTGAAGAGTGGCAGCAATGCAATCGACAAGGCCCTGGTGCCCAGGGCTTCCGGGGATCCGGCTCCAGGCACGCCGTATGTTCCACAGGAGTAGACCCAGCAATGCAAGAGCCCACGTGGTTCGATCGGGCAGGTGAGCGAAGAGTGGAAGCCCCTGAGCCACCGATGCTTCTCTTTGGCACTCTGTATGCTCAACCTGCAAAACCGCCGGAAAACTAGAGCAGCAGCCAAAACAGGCGCATTGGCTCCAGAACGTCGGCTGACATTGATCCCTGGCCATGTGGGTGGCCTCGCAGGCAAAACTTGAAGCTGATGCATGTTGGCTCACGGCAACTATGATCAGAGGCGGAGGAGCGGCAAAACTGTCGCAAGCCCAGCGACAGCTAACCGCTCGCGAGGAAGACGTCGGGCCTCGAACCGACCAGACAGCACAAGCCCAGTGCTGCTGATCGACCGAACCCGAAATCGAAACAACAGCAGGAGGAAAGGCAGGGGCCTGTACACGTCCGCGAAGCAAGGAAAACCCTATCTCAAAAGTACAGAGGCCTCTCTCAGACTTGCCCGGCAGGTCCATCAGTCCGTGACCTGAGTAGCCACTCGACACGGTACAACCCAAAGGCTCTAGCTCGAAGAGGAAAGGCCCCACCACGACCATTCCAACTCCAAGCAGACCGGTGGGTGTACAGATGCCGAGGCCACTCCGACCACAAGACGAAGGACGCCTCAGTCCATCTCGGATTCGTCGTCGATGCGGATGGTCGGGATGTAGTCCAGATATTCCTCCCCAGGGGGCCTGGCTGCCGAACCTGCATGTACATCGGCATCCGCGCCATCCACGGCCTCGGGCTCGGCCGAAGGAGCCCTGGAGATCTCCCGATCCAGAGCTTGTTGGCGTTTCTCGTCCATGCGATCCTGGAAAGTGCGGCTGCCTGTGTTGATCTCGGGCTTGGTATGTGTCTTGACAGGCTGCCGCGGCCTCGAGCTGGATTTCGGTGGACGGCCGGTTGGCGGAGACATTGCTGTGTGCCGGGTACTCGGCGAAGCATGATAAGGGTTGGTCGCCACAGGCTCCAGCGGCGCATTGTAGCCACCAGAGACCGCCATCGGCTCTGGGCTTGGAGAAGGCATCCTTCCAGAAGGGGCTTCTGCCTCTCGTCGTCCTGCATCGCGAGCCTCGGTTTTGGGTGGCTTCAGGCCACCCGGCCAAGTGAAAGGATCCCCACCATTGAGTCCCGGCGGTGCACGGGAAGCCTGGGGCGTCTCCGTGACCTCTCGCTTCGGCTGGCCTCGAGTTTGCAAGGCACGCTGCAGGATCGCCTCTGGTCCATCGTCCTGCTGGGCCTCTTTCTTCCACTGCCGGCACATCTCGGTCCAGGGATCGGGGCCACTGGCTGTGGCCTCTTCGCTGCCTTGCTTGCCATCGTAGCGAGCTGCCACCCAGCACAGTTTGCTCCGAGCTTCTTCCTGCTGCTGGTAGGCCTCCTGTATGTCGTCGTCGAGGCGCTGGAGATTTTGTTCGTGCCTTTGGCATTCCTTCAACCAGTTCTTGCGAAGCTGCTCCATGTAGTCTGCCCAGAGGGCAACCTTCTGCTCGCGAGTGCGCGTCAGGCTCTTCACTCGCTGCTCCGCCTTTCTCGCATGATTCAGGCAGTTCTGGAAATCCTGCACGAATCCTCCGGCCTGTGAGGCCTGCCCTGGCTCGGGATCTCCTCGTCCCGTAGCTGGCGGCCGTCTCTCGTCGTAGCGCGGGAAGTAGGCTTTGTCCTCGGGCCACGACTTCCACGCTGAAAAGTCCTGATAGTCTTGATAGTCCTGTCTCCATGCTCCATCCCGTGGCGACTTGGCTCCACGCCAGAGTTGCCAGGATGGCTGCTGCGGCCACTTGCCTCCTCGTTTGCCTCCCATGGCTGCTCCTTGGAGAAGGCGTCGTTGGGACGGGTCTGTGGCGTGGTGCACTGCCAACAAGTGCAGTGCAGCACGTCCCGGTCTCACACCGGATCGCAAGGAGGTTCGAGCCTTCGATCGCTTGCGTCGAAGGCGGCGGTGCCAGGAGGGAGAGTGCAGGTGCCGCGCACGCCCTGCTATGGCTCAAACCTGTGGTGCTTTGCACCAAACGCGTCACTCGGACGCTGGGGCTCTACAGTGTTCCGGCGCTCGTGCCGGCGATCTGGGCCCTGCAGGTCCTGTTTATTTCTTATTCTCTTATTGCTGACGATAGAGTGCAGTCCATGTAACAAGGACAGTCCACGAAATCGCCCCACCCCTAAAAACCCCGCATGTAACTACAGGATCCGACCGACTAGCTTTGAATATGATGGGGGTTTTAGCACCTAGAGTAGGGTCCTGGGGCATTTTAAGTATATTGAGGAGGCTTATGGAAGGCTATCCTAGTATGTTGAGTATGACGGCCCAGAGCTATGAACCAAAGCTCTCCTGGAGCGGTGCAGAGCGCAGTAAAGTCTAAGCCTAAACCCTAAACCGCGAACACTACACCCTAGGCCCCTGAAGGCTTAAACCCCGAGTGACAGGAGCTCCGCTATTTGAATGTCACCGGACCTCAGTACACGACCACGAGAGTGTTTCCGTGCTGCAGTGGCGGTTTAGGCTGCGAGATTAAACCTTCATCGTTGAGGAATCTTCGTGGCTTGAGGGTTCAGAGCTTGAAGCTGTAAGGTTCCAGGGTTTCTCAGATCTTTACTCCTTTCTGTCCTACTTCCTGCCCCCCCCCTCTGCGCTTCGTCCGCCCCGGCAAGCTATCCAACATTAACTACAAGTGCTGAGGAAAAGGCTACACGATAATGCCTGTGTAGTGCCAATACAGTAATACTTTTCTTTCACAAGTTCATGCTGGGTTTGCCAGCACTATCACATGGAGTGCAAGAAGTATAACAAGATGTCTAGACCCGTCAAGCATCGAGGAACGTGGCCGCAGCATCCTTCAGCCCCTTTGATTAGTTAGACTGTCGAACACGGCACCCGGTGGTTTCCGGACCTCAAAGCCTACACCGTGGCGGGAAGCCCCCACAAGGCTCAACACTCAACAAGGTAACAAGAACCGGAAAGCCAGCAAGATATGGCAGGCACATGATACAACCGTCAACCTTAGGCCAGCCCTTGAGCACAAACTCCAAGAGCTTCTCTTGAAAAATTCGCCCCCGCCCCTCCCCCCCACCCCCCCCCGAGCAAATTTACAATCAGATGGTCCCTTTCAAGGTTGGATGCTCGCAGCAATCAGTTGGAGTGGGTTGCAGGCCGTGATGACCGCGGACACATTGAGAGCTACTGTCCCGTGTTGTCAGTAGTCGACGTCGTTGTAGATGCACAAGACAACATTTTCGAACAGGAGCCATCATGGTCACTGTCACCGCCAAGAGCACATTTGCTGCATTGACAATGTTGTTGCTCCTATCTAAAAGCAGCACCAGCTCGCAATTCGCCTTTTACTGATTGCCATCACTACGACAGCAATGTTCTCCTCCTCTGTGCCATCATGCAGGTTGTCTCGCGTATCCTCATGTTCACAGTGCAGTTTGGAATTCGCTCGAAACCCACATTGCACATCTTGGCCCAGCAGCCCTATCGAAGGCCGCAAGTCTTGAATTCCTCTGGGGCCTTCATACAAGCAGTGTGTATGCGGTCTTTGATAGGGCGCAGTTCGAGGTTTCTGTAATCCTAACCCGTAACCGCTCATCGCAGGTGTGGAGGGCATGACGTCCGTGCAGCGGATCGAGCTTGACTGGCGGCTTTGCCTTAAGCTGTTGGTGGGAAAGTAGGGCTCAGCGGAGTCTAAGGTTCGTACTAGCCTCTGTTCGTACAGAGAAGTACGAGCATTTATCGGCTTTCAAACTTAAGATTTCACCGGATATAGGATTTTTTGCTGATCTTCAGCAGCTTTACAGGCTCGAGCTTTGGGGTTCTGTGTTTGGTCTGGAGTGCCTGCATATAAGTGAAACGGGACGTGTGCAACATGCTGCACGACTTGGACAGAGATTTTGCCAGAAAACGCGCTTTGCACGATTGAGCCCCCATACTTAAGGGAAGCACCCCAAGCCCATACGATGAAACCGTACACTTGGATCTCAGGAATCGACTGACGGCGCTGTCGGTCAGATTGCCGAGAACTCTGCGCCACCTCAGTGTTAGCTTCTTGGTGTGCACCTTGCGAGGGTCTCCATGCAGAGCCTGCGAGCTGAGTCTCATATACGCGCAGAGACAGGTACACTTGAGCACAATATAGGTTGCGTTGGGCACGTTTGCCCCGCACTTTCTTCTGTTCGTTTGGGGGGTGGGGGGTGGGTGGGGGTGGGGGGCATGATAACGTTCATGCTTGAAGCCCTGCAGATGAAGATGGTGATGCAGCTTCGTCATCGTGGCCATGCTGCTGATATGCTGCTGATGATGATGCTCATGATGATGACCATGATTATGATGATTATGACTCTGACGATTATGATGACGATGATGTTGCTTACTGCAAGCCCTAAATCGTAGAGTCATGGTCTTCAGCCAGTGACCTTCAGCTCCGGAACCATTAGTTATCTAGAGCATTCTGATACCGTATGCACATGTGTATCACAGTGACACAATGCTCTCAACGTGGTCGCTCGGCAGCTGTTTTACTCTCTTCAACGATGCCGAACTACTTCACGAGTCCTTCTCTTCCTGTGGCCCTCTCGGCCATTTTGCTTTTGCGGCGATGCCACGTGCCACTTCCCGCTGCTTTGCATGGCACTGGGTTCTGCACCTTTTCTGATGTGATCACATTGATGCTTTGGCTATGTTCGCACTCAATGAAGAGCCGGGCTTGCGAAGCGTGATCGATGCGGTCGTTGCCTACAGAGTGTTCTGTGAAGACAAAGTGTTCCCTGCCGTGGCCTGGACAGACACGTCCTGGTTTGGCCTGGCACCGTGACGGCAGTGAGAGCACAAAATAAGTGTTTCCGTCCCGCGCAATTGCTCGAAGCATTCCCATTTCCAAACTAAGAACTCCAAAGTTCGACTTCCCGAACCGACACTCCCATATAGGTTGAAGCAATATCACATCGCAACAGTGTGTCCTGTCTTGCAGTATATTCCCTGTCTTGTTGAATCTCAAATTCATCGTGGATGCCAGCGTTTTCGTATGTTCCTACCAAACATCATGACACCCGAGAATCACCTTGCAAGCAACAACATTCTTCAAGCAGCCCGTCCGCACCACAAAGTGCGGGGCACACGTGCCCAACGCGTCCACAATATAGATATATACATATATAATCATATATATATATATAGATATATATATATATATATACACATACATTCGTACCAGCATATATGTATTTGTATTTATGTATACATGTATATGTATGTAGACACAGATAATTAGATAGGTAGGTAGACAGGTAAGATAGATCGGTTGATGTGCAGATCGATAGAGCGCACTCTACACACATAAATGTACAATCAGTGTAAGCGGATAATAAAGATGCATGCAGACAGACGCGCACACACACACAGAATCGCGTCTTTGTCTTTATTGTTTGCTGGTGCATTTATCTGCGTAATTACTGTTGTTTCACATAGGCACTGCTTATGCAAGCATGCTTTCATGTCATCATGACGCATGCTGCATGTGCATTTACTTGTGCGCACATGTCATGTATGCAAATGCACATGTACTGCTGTATGTACACGCAGAGAGACAGAGGGAAGTCTGGTATAGGAACTGTCGGGTTAGCAGGTGTCATGGCCATCCACGCGCATATACAGTCTGGTGACGAGGAGTTACCTGAGCTTCTACTTGCCAACTCCGCACCCTGAACGGGAACCCAAGAGCTACTAACTTCAGCGGTACATATCCAGCTTTGTGTGAAGCAACGGCACTAACATTCGAGATCGAGGCCCATGGAGGCGTAACCGAAAGTGTCGATAGCCTGCTTCTGATGGAGGGGCCGCGTTTTGTGACATGGTTGAGCAATATGACAATTCCACTTGTGCAGCGGGTTTTGCTTGAAACAACGTTAACGTTACGAAATGCTGAGTTACTTAGCGCAAAGGACGGCAACTTTATACTGGTAGGTAATGACGGTGATGCTGGTGGATGGCGATTACTACGACTTGTGTTACTCTTTGAGATTACCATTGCTACAACAAACTTTAGTCGCCAATGCTTGGTTACTTTTGTCGGCAGGGTATAGTATGTTTTCAGTGCCGTGGTTTCTTGAGATTCCCAACTTCTTTAATACGGCCAAGTTTGTGGCTAAGACAGGGTTTTCGTCTAGACGTGGGTTTTTGTTAGATACTCGGGTTTCGCAGGTACTATATTAGGGTCCCCTATTTTCGGAAACTCCCATATATTAGGACATTAATAGTAGCCCTATTATAGACTGTCACTGTATCGGGGCAGTACCCAACCTCGAGGCTACAACAGATTGACCAAGTTGGCAAACCTGGGTTGGGCGCCGAAGCTGGTGAACCTCAAGGCGGTTTGGGGTTTAGGGGTTGAGGGGGTTTAGGGGCTCGGGGGTTCAGGGGTGTAGGGGTTTAGGGCTTTAGGGGTTGAGGGTTGGGGCTCAGGGGTTTAGGGGTTAGGGAGACGGCATTCGGAGCCTACGCGTAGGGTTTGCTCAGATGTTAAGCCAGAACCCCGAAGTCATAGGTATGCCAAACTCGGGGCCCTACCCCAAACCCTAAGCCCTATCCCTCCTATCTATACCCGAATCCTAACCTTCATTATTGTTGCGGTCTATAACTCCCTCTTTCGGTACCTTCCTTTATCCTGGTCTGTTCTAACCGGGTGTGTGTGGGTTGCTTCGATGTGTTTTGGCGGTCGGGGTTTGTCTTTGTGGTATGTCGGTCGTCTTCTTCTGGCTTCTGTCTGGTGTTCCTTGTTCGAGTCCGGGGACGAACGACGACAGGGCCGATGCGTGATTCGAGTCATCGGGTGTAAATCACTCCGAGGACCACCTGTAAGGCTAAGGTGTCAAAGGCCTATGTAGAGCTGAGGTTTTTTTTTGGTAGGGTTTACTCCGCTTTGCAAGATGACCTTTTCTGATATCAAGGTAGTCGTGGGATGAGCATAGCAGTACGGCGTAGCACTCATGGCAATGATGTGGGTGAGGGTTTAGAGTTTGATGCTGTTGCCGTCACTTTGATTGACCGGAGAATCAGATTCAACCTGTTGAGAAGCAAAGCCCTACACATTGAATTTGGGTTCTCGGAGCTTGATCAGGTCGCAGTCAAGTGGAATTGCTCCGCGGTCCGTTTATGTAGTGCCGGCGTTTCCTAGATGCCCCCAACCATGTAAGGAAACCTTCCACGGTATGTTCAAAGCCTGAGCGCTGGTCATATGTCTTTGAGGCATCCAACAACCAGCTGCGCAGTGTGGATGGTCTTGACAAAATGCATGCCCCTCCACTGATGCAGAGGTTGCCGTTTGCCAGCCTCCGATTCCTGTATGGATGCATTTTTCGGTTTAGCGACTTTTGGCTTCGGTTTTGGAGGTCGAGGGTTAAAGCCGCAAATCCATATCCCCCAATAAAGAGTTAAGGGAGAACCCTAGATCTTGGAAGCTTCAACATCAGGACCCTTGCCTTCTCAGCGGTTCTTTGAAGTCATCTGTTCAACCTGAACCCAAGGTCCCCATGTGGTAGGGCTTACAAAGAGTTTGGCAGAGGGTTTAGCTGGCTGGCGTCAGTCCCGGACTTTTTTTGTAGACGCGTCCGTCCTTGTTACTCCGTTTGCTATCTACTCTTGTGGCCTGCGGCTTAGACCTTTATTGTGAGTAAACCTATTTCCTCAGCCCCACTCGTGATTGTGAGTATGATCGACTGCTATGGCGTGGTAAACCGCGCATCGTTGCCTGGAGTAAGAGACCCTTCATGAGCAAATACTAGACCCTGTACTATAGGGGCCTTAATAATGAGAATATAGTTTTGGGGTATAGTATGATCCACATATGATATGGAACCCTAAGGAATAGGGTTGGTAATTTTTGAGGCTTCTACAGTAGTTTGTTTTTCCATGTTTTCCTGCATCGGCCTTCTGTGGTCAGTGCTATATTGCCTGGGGTATCCGTCAGGTAGAGCTCAGCTCTTCACTGCTTTTCAAGGCGCTCGTGGTGTGCAACCTACAGCACAACAATATCACCTCCGTGCCGAGTTTGGAAGCGCTGACGTCGCCTCTTGGCATGCTTTCTCGGCTCCGTGATGTGAAAACATGAGCGGTGCAGCTGAGTACCCAGTACCGTTCAACAAGCCTAAACCCAAAACGGCCCTATACACCAAACCCTAACGCCGTAAACCAAGCACGAGTTGTCAACACCAACATGCACACACACACACACAGACACACCCATGCTCACACACACTCAGACAAATTAACAAAAGTGTGAGTTCCGCGTGCTGAGTTGCAAACCAGTTGAAATCCTGTGTGGGCAAGTGGGCCATCCAGACTGTGCTTCAGCAAGTTCAAGTCCACCATGTCCAAAACAATGGAAATTACACGGTGACCACCACCACACAGCATATCCATCTTCGCTGCTAACTATCTGTAAACTACTGTAGGAGGTTGACTGCTTTTTCGCACAGCTCTTCCTTCACGGTACGTGCGTACGTCTTAACATCCTATATCGTGCGATGAGGGTTGAAGTTTTTGCCCGCCGCAATCATTCGGGAAGACCCTTTGGTTGAGTAATTACCCCGCAGTCCCAGGCTGGAGATCTTGAGCTTGGGTTTCAACGCCCTCACCGATCTTTGCCGGCAATGGGCCGCAGACCTCACAGGGTTTAGGATTTAGGGTTTGGGGTTTTTGTAGGGTTTAGAGTTTAAGCCGCAGGGTGCACCCTTTCTGACAAAGCTCATGGAACTGCCGTGGCCTACCCGGCCTCCCACAACCAGGGAGAACTTGAGTTGAGGGCCGAGCCAGTGCCTCGATACAGTTACGTTCCAGGGGTTTACGGTTCAGGTTTTAGGGGCTTAGGGTTAGGATCCTTTCAGGGATCCTAAAAACACAGGATTTAGGGGTTTAGGGTTAGGGTTGAGGGTTTTTGCAGCCCCAATCGAGCCACAAGAAGAAGAGTAAGAACTGCAAACCCCCGGTTAAGCATTATAGATTTTATCGAGGAGCTTGGTCCACTCCACTCCAAGATTTTGGAGCTCCTTGTGCCCAAGCCGCTCGACCACAGGGGTGGGGGCTTCGGGATTTTTCCCTACTGAGCCGTACCTGCCTTTCCGCTCCTACCTTACCTATCTGCCTGCCCGCCTGCAGGCCCGTGTCATCGCTTCTTACAGTTACCGCTGTGTGGCCTTGTGATACATTGTGCTTTCTATTGGAGGTCCTAGAACTCGGAGCCAGCAGAAGGTGGTCGTACCTTGTAAAGAACTGCATATTGCAAGCCATCTCTGCTACAACTGCTGTAGGATCAGGCTGCCAAGTTTGGGCCATGGACGAAGTAGCCAAGCATGTGCCCATTGCTTGCTCCGAAGTGGTTGCCTTCAGTGGCGCAGTGTTCTGCGATGATTGCGGACCCCGATGGCATCATTTCCGCCTTTCCGTGCGATGCCGCGACGTTGTCGACAAAGAGAAGATCAGGCGCTTTGTGAAAGCTTTCATAGCTTCTCTAGGTGGCATTGAGTCGCCATTTCCTGGCATCACGCAGGCGCAGCTAAAGAACGCCTCACGCCTTTCCAAGATCTTGGACCGCTTCGACAAATCTAGCTACGAGGGTGAAAGGGCCAACGCCTTCAAGATCTTGCAGTCGAATCTTGCGAATTTGCATTGGAACATGGATGCCTTCCGTGATGTGCATGAGGCCTTAGACGCCGGGGCGGACAGGGCTTGCAAAACGGAGGTGACTATCCAGAAAGCTTCAAGTGACTATTCCTATTACCCTTCCTGGAGAAAGTCACGTGTATGGTTCGATCAGCTGTGCGAGGCAGTCTCACGGCCTCTTGGACTGCATCCCGGCATAAGCTCCGCGGGCAAAGTCTCTGTAAATGGTGCGTGCTTTCTGGGACCTTGCCTGACAGCAGTTGCAGCGGGAGTCGCCATTGCAAAGGTTGCAGACGCGGCCCTCGGATCTTGCCACTTAAGCCGCAATGGCGAGGACGATTTCTGCGCAGGCTTCTGCAAAGAGATGATGTCCGACACGCCCTACCTCACAGACCAGGAGAAAGACGCGGCAGAGGCACGACGCCGCGCTTGGGAAGACGACTTTGGGTGGACTTACGCAGGCCGGGGTTCTCGAAATTAGCCGGTGTCACAGCATGCCTTGGACTATAGACGCTAGTCGGCTGTCGGTCTCTGCTAAGTTCAGCGAATCGTGAGCTTTAAACCTGCTGGCATGTTTGGAAGGTCTTCGTGGCTTGCAAGAAACAGACGTTCAAACTTTCTTGGGGGCGGCATGACTTCGACAGATTTCGACATTTGTCAAGCGTCCGGATGTCCTAGCTAGGTCCTAGCACCGATAGGACCTAGGGATGTTTTTTAGTGATACTTGTTCATGTCGTGGGTTCTTGTCGCAGCTAGCGATGATCTCCAGATAGACAGATCTCGCCTCATCCGGGTTTTTGATTTTGAATGTAGCACATCCGGGCATCTCGACCTGAGCTCAAATGGGCAGTTCGAATATGAACTCCTAAGCACCCCCTCCGACACAAAAACTGATAACTTATCAAGATTGTTTTTGGCGAGCTCTTTTCCTGTGACACATAGGTACAGTTTCCTAACAAACCTTGGGCATCTTCCTGAGGTCCGTACGCAATCTTGCCCAAAACCCTTGAACCCTAAACCCAAAGCCCCTAACCCTGTTCCTGAATCCTCAGATGGTCATGCCGCGTCAAAGCGTAGCTCGGCAGATTCGGCAGCTGGTGAGGAAGGCAGATCGCAGGCTGAGAAGCGCAAGCAGGACTCAGCAATCTCGTCGTAGTGAGAAGAATGTGTAGGAATATGAATAGTCATACTAGCGCAACGAGAACATTCAGAGTAATGTGAGCAAGAATGTCAGGGTTGACAAGAGCAAGTGCAGTGTAAGAGAAAAAATCGTTAGGGTAAGAGTGATATTGTTAGTAAACTAAGAGCAAGAAGAGTAGACAACGTAGTCATAGCAAGAGTAAGAACGGTAAACAGAGCATATACTATCATATACTTATATTTATAGTTGTAACGTATACGTGATATCTTTTGGTGGTCTCCTCATCATCATGATCATCATAATCATCATTTAGTACTAATAATGGCAGTGCTAAAGACGGAGTCTCTCAGGTGTCTTTGAGGAGTTGTACGGGGGTGACAAAGAAGGCCTGTCTGGAATACCAGTGGATTTGGGGGCACACCAATGTGTAAGAGAGATGTCCAGGGCTCTGTCCAGGGGTTAAAACCCTGAGCCCTACCTTCGAACCTTCAGAAGTAGGTAAAACAATGGCCGAAACCCTGAAAAAGGCCATTATTCTACACTGCAACTGGGGAGCAAGCCCAGACTCCCGCCTTGTGCAAATGCTCCACAGGAGTTTGAGCCCATGATGCAGAAGCTCCAGGCTCAGAAGATCCTTGCGCTTGGGGGCTGAGCCAGTGATGGAAGAACTGTGGCTTAAGCTACAGATCTTGCAGCCAGGAGAGTCGCAGCAGGATTCTCGTTCCGTTTTAGATTTCTAGTACCTGACACAGCCTATGTGTTGAAAGCTATTCTTGAAAGCAAAACAGGAGTTTGCACGTCCCCGTGAGGGTCGATGCGAAGTTGTTGTGTTCCATGTGCTGACCTAGAGTTCAGAGCTTGGTGGTAGAAGGCCGATACCTCCGCGAGCCACATGTCCAAAGATGGTATAAGGGAGTTTCTTCAACCTCGCGAGTTGCTCACTGGGATATGATTGCAATATGGACTTTAAGAATCACTGCATAGAACCACGCAGCATGAATGATTGCAAGTTGCCTTCGAGAGGCACGTTCCTGTCTCCTCGGACAGTTGGCTTGGACCCGGCTCCCCCAAAAGCGAGCCGTTTCCGATAATTTGCTCAGGTCCCCAAACCGAAGGGATCCAGAAACTAGATCAGCAAAGATTATGGGCAGGTTTAGAATGATTGATAAAGGATTTCCATTAATCGTACGTCGTATGGTGGACCTACTTTGGGATCCCTTTCGGGGTCCGGGGCCCTGCTATCATGCGAGGGACTGCCTTCGTGTGCAGCAGCACCTGTCATCAACGGCGACTGCGGTGCCAAAAACCAGAGTGCTGAGGGCAAACCTTTTGACCATAAGGCTCAACCCCTCACCCTAACACTTTAGCATTGCGCCGAAATTTCGGCACGCAATGATGTTCAATTGGTTAAACTTGGCAGAAGAAGATTTAGACCACAAGACCCAACATCCGCAGCATTGGATGTCACAGACCCTCACAAAAGGAACCCGTTTTTGAACGCCAGCTCTTGATGCGCCATTCCGGAATCCCAGCCCTCGTCCCAACCAGCCAACCCGACATGACATGAATTGCAGTGTGGACTCCCAAACCGGTGACAAACAGGGGTTTATGCAGGGGTACCAGTAAGGGTGGTTTAGGGGGCCGGTAGAGGGTTATTAAGGGGGGATTCTACGAGTTTACACGTGGCACACATATGTTCTGGAGCAGTCATCCGCCTAGCGTTCGAGACTGGGCAGAGGGCTGTTGTTTGTCAAGTCATCGATACTCTAACCCCCCCCCCCCCACACACGCAAGCGTCTAATCCCCAAATCTGAATAAGATCTGAAAATCCTGCCCATCACAAGAGCAGAAGATGGAAAAACAAAACTGTCCGGAACCCTCACAACAGAAAGCCCTCAGGCCCTTATCTTTGGTCTGCAGTCGGAAAAGAGGAGCTAAACAAAAACAAGAACCAACTTATTTGACTTAGAACCTGAGCCTTCTAAACCCTCAGCTCTTGAACCCGCAGGCCCCGAATCCCAGATTCCGACGTCGCGAGCTTGCGCCCGGGCCCCTTAAATCCGGGTTCCGGAACCTTGAACGCTGCATATGCAACAGAAACGCCTACATACAGCCGCGCGGAGCCGAAACTCTTCCACCCTCGCCCGAGGAACAAACTCATTCGCTTGCCTGATCTCAGTGGCTCGAGGCATTTCAGAAGGGAGGCTCGGGACGATGAGATGGGCGCAGTTACCCTGCTTAAGGATCCGGGCAGACCCCAAGCAGATTATAGTTAAGTCTGTTGAACGCCCATTTTCCTGGTTATAGGATTGCTTATATCCTCCAAGTAGAAAGCTGCTTTGAATGATA